TGTTTCTTCTTGATTCCCCGCTCATCCCTGTTGTTACCCTCACCGGCACTGGTCTCTTCTTGCCGCTGCCGCTGTTTTGTCCGCCGTTGGAGTGCCGCGAGAGTTTTGAATACCATCGTACTCATGTCTCTTTGCGTCTAGACGTCCTCTTCACACTCTGCTGCATCCATCGTTTTTTTTTTCCAGTTGCTGCATCCATCAAGCGTTGCTCTTGGGCCTCTGTTGCTTCTGTTCAATTCTCGCCGATTTGCTGCTTCTGCTTCTCGCCGGTCCCTAAGAAAAAAAAAAAAAATTCTTTTCCTGCTTGCTGCTTCGCTGCTGTTGGGATTCTTTGTTGCTTGCTATTGTTGGGGTTCTTGTTTGTTCACCGTTTCTTTTCCTTCTTTTTTTTTTTAAAAAAAAAGCAAAAACAGCAAAAAAAAAATTCCTTCTTTGTTTGATCTTCTTCGTTTGCCTTTCACGTTCCTGCTGCTATGGCAAATTCGGCCACCTTTGGTGTCACAGGAACTCCATCTTCTGATCACTTTCAAACCACCCCCAACACCGCAACCCTGCCACCCTCTTCTCCTCTAATGGCCTTTCAAATATTAAGAACTGCATCACCCATGTTCTTGACTTCACCAACTACATGCTTTGGAAGGAACTCTTTCTTCCTGTTTTCCGCAGCCATGCCGTCATGGGTCACATTGACGGTTCAAATCCTTGTCCACCGGCGACTCTCGCTGCCTCTGATGGTTCTTCCACTCCCAATCCGACTTATCAATCTTGGACCCAAATTGACTCTATTGTGCTGTCGTGGATTCAAGCCACTGTTTCTACTGAGATCTTGCAGGCTATCGTTAAGCCCAATTCCACCCTCACAGCCTGAGATGACTGGCTTACGATCGAGAAGCTGTTTTATGACCAACTTGGCTCTCGGCTTCTCCATCTGAAGCTGCAATTCCACAGCTTGAAGAAGGGTGATTCTACAATCAATGATTATGTCACTGAGTTGAAGATGTTGGCTGACTCTTTGGCCGTTGTCGGTTGTTCCATCTCCGACTCTGATTTGGTTCTACAAATTCTCGCCGGTCTTCCTGCTGATTATCAATCCGTCTCCACCACCATCAGCCACAAAGTTCCTCTTCCTACCTTTGTTGAGGCTCGTTCGATGCTGTTCTTGCATGAGGTGCAGCTTCAGAACGTGGCCCCTCCTTCTTCTCCCGCGGCAACCACAGCCTTGGTGGCGGCTGCTTCACCTGGTTCTTCTCAGCAGCCGACGTCCACTTCTCCTTCTCCTGTTTTATCCAGTCATGGCCGTGGAAGGGGTCGCGGCTTCCAGAATATAAGAGGCTGAGGTTGCGGGCGTGGTCGCAATCGATATTTTGGTCAGTCCTCTTCTCCGTTTTATCACTCTTATTCTTCTTATCCGGCTCCCATGTTTACTCCCAGGCAGTGCGCTCCCTCTCTTCTTGGACCGCCTCCTTTTTCCTTGTCCAATTCGAGTCCTGTTCGATGTGAATTGTGCCTCCAGTTTAATCATTCTACCCGGGATTGCTATCAATTCCAACAGCCCGCATATTTTGTTGATCAACATAATCAGCTTTCTGTCCCTCCGTCTGTTGATTCTTCTTGGTATATGGACACGGCTTGTGGTAATACTATGACTCCCAATCAAGGTACTCTTACTAATTCCAAACCCTATCTTGGTTCTAGTCGAGTTGTGATTGGTAATGGTTCAAATTTACCTATTAAATCTGTTGGTATACTTCCTTGTTCTCAATTTCGCTTTCCTAGGGTTTATTATGTACCTTCACTTACTAAAAATCTTGTTTCTGTGCGTCAATTTGCAACTGAAAATCAATGTTCTATTGAGTTTGATCCCTTCGGTTTTTCTGTGAAGGATCTTTGGACGAGGAACCCTCGTCTACGTTGCAATAGTGTTGGTTCCCTTTACACTTTCCCATCCACCCTTTCAGATCAATCTCGCGCACTATCTTCTTCATCATGTCCGGCGTTCGCTGCTTCTGTCTCTTCTCATGTCTGGCATCAACGCCTTGGTCACCCCAATTCTTCTGTTTTATCTACATTAGTGTCACATCGGCGCCTTCCTGGTTCGGTGGTTTCCTCTAATAAGTTTACCCTTTGTCAGGCTTGTCAAATTGGGATGCATCATAAGCTCCCTTTTCTGCCTTCTACTTCGGTTACTTTCAAAGCTTTTGATTTAATCCATACCGATGTTTGGACTTCTCCCTGTCTTTCATTTAGTGGTTTCAAGTATTTTGTCCTTTTTCTTGATGATTTTACTCATTATTTATGGGTGTATCCACTTAAACAGAAATCTGAGGTGCCTCTCAAATTTATTAACTTCTATATTCTTGTCCAAACTCAATTCAATACTTCTATAAAAACTCTTCAATCTGACGGTGCTGCTGAATATGTTCACTCTCATTTTTTTCAATCTTTTCTCAACTCTAAGGGAATTGCCATGCGCATTTCTTGCCCATACACTCCTCAACAAAACGGCAAAGCTGAGCACATGAATAAGACTGTCCTCAATATGGTCCGCACCCTCCTCAATCAAGCTCACTGGCCACCTGAATTCTGGGTAGAGGCCTTAAATACTAGTGTTTATCTGATAAACCGTTTACCTACCAAATCCAAGAACAATTATGTTCCCTTCTCCCTTCTTTTTGGTACTCTACCTAATTATGGTGTCTTGCGGGTCTTTGGATGTTCTTGCTTTCCTAATCTATCTCATTTAGCTTCTCACAAGCTCCAACCTCAGTCCACTCCATGTATCTTCCTCGGTTATCCTGAGTCTTATAAAGGTTACCGTTGTTTTGATCCTGCTTCCAAGAAAATTGACACTTCCCGTCATCTTGTTTTTGATGAAACCTCTTTCCCGTTTCCTCAACTATCTTCAGTTCCACCACTCTCTACTCCCAACTCCCGTTTTAAACATCCTTCATTTCTCATTCCACGGTCCATTCCCACTTCCGTAATACCTTCACCTCCTCAACAAAAAGTGTCAATTGTTCCTTCTGTACATTCAGACCCTAAACCTTCTACTTCCTTGTCAACTCATTCGGGTCCTCCTTCTTCAAACCCTCCCACTCATCATATGGTCACCCGCACTCGGAATGGCACCCGTAAACCTAAACAGATCCCCTCTCTTACTACTACTACTACAATATCTTCACTTCCCCGTGAACCAAAATCTTTCACTGAGGCCAATAAATACCCTGAATGGCGAGCTGCTATGAGTGATGAATATAATGCTCTCCTCACTAACCATACATGGGATTTGGTCCCTCCTCCTATTTCTGCTAACATTATTGGCTCAAAATGGATTTTTCGAGTTAAGCTCAAATCCGACGGTTCACTTGATCGATGTAAAGCACGTTTGGTCACTCAATGTTACAATCAAAAGCCTGGTATTGATTATGATCAAACGTTCAGTCCGGTGGTTAAACCAATAACAATTCGGACTGTATTAAGCATTGCTGCTTCTGGCAAATGGCCCGTCCATCAGTTGGATGTTAAAAATGCATTTTTGCATGGTTATCTCAATGAAATTGCCTACATGAAACAGCCTACTGGTTTTGTTTATCCAGATCATCCTCAGAATGTCTGTCGATTGAACAAAGCTCTTTATGGCTTAAAGCAGGCTCCCTGAGCTTGGTTTCACAGATTCACTACTTTTCTGTTTTCTCAGGGTTTTACAGGCAGTCGCTCAAACTCTTCTATGTTTGTGTATTCTGCTGGATCAGACATGGCGGTTTTGTTACTTTATGTTGATGACATTCTCTTGACAGCATCTAGTAATCGTCTGCTCACCACTATTATTCAGTCGTTGAAGGGTGCTTTTGCCATGACTGATCTTGGTCCAATCAGCTATTTTCTTGGTGTTTCTATTGCTCCTCACTCTGGTGGTTGGTTTTTACACCAACGTAAGTATTCGGAGGAATTGTTGGCTCGTAGTCATCTCACTGATGCCAATCCTGTTGCAACTCCCCTTGCTCCCGCTTTTCAGTTTTCTGTTGATGAGTCTCCGTCTTTTCACAATCCAACTCTCTATCGGAGCTTGCTGGGTGCCTTACACTATCTTGCCTTCACCAGACCGGACCTTCAATATCCGGTCAACCTTGTCTGTCAGCATATGTATGATCCCCGGGAACAGCATTTTCAAGCTGTCAAACGTATTCTATGATATATTAAAGGCACACTTCATTATGGTATTCATCTCCACGCTGGTCCTCTTGATCGCCTAGTTACTTATTCTGATGCTGAATGGGCCGAGTGTCCCACTACTCGCCGTTCTACCATTGGTTTTTGTGTCTTCTTAGGATCCTCTCTCTTTTCCTGGTCCTCCAAGAAACAATCTACAGTTTCCAGATCTTCTGCTGAGTCTGAATATCGCGCGGTTGCTTCTGCTTTGGCTGAAACGGTTTGGTTAGAAAATCTTCTGTCAGAACTTCATATCAAGCTTCCTCAGCGCCCAGTGATCTTGTGTGACAATGTCCCTGCTACATACCTAGCTGCCAATCCTGTTAATCATGCTCGAACCAAACATATTGGTCTAGACATTCATTTTGTTCGTGAACGTGTCGCTGCTGGTCTTCTTCGAGTTCTTTATATCTCCACCCAGTCTCAACTAGCAGATGTGTTCACCAAATCCTTACCTAAAGATAAATTTTATTCGTTTAGAACCAATCTGTGCATGATTTCCTCTCCTACTCCGATTGCGGGGGGATGATAGAATATATAAATACAGAAACCCTAATTAGGGTTTCCGATAATCACGACTAGGGTTATTGTAATATTGTACTATATATATGATGTTATACACATGTAATAAGACACGAAAAATATTCTTTCACTTATATCGAAATTCAAGAGGGACAAATTTCTATAAAAGGACGCCACATTTTCCCTTTTGAAGCATCCCACCTTCTCCTACTCTTTCAAATTTTGGTGGCATACAATTCTAGTGTTATAGTATTTTTAGTTTCAAAAGAATGGCACCTTCCCTCCTGTCGAATTTTGAAGTTGGCAAAAGGTAAGGAGACTAACCCTAGCTAGCAGCTTTTTTTTTTTTTTTTTTCCTTCTTCCGCTCTCTTTGTTTGCACCAATTTTGTTGATGATCAGTCACCAATTAATGCTTATTTATTGACAACATTTCTCTCTTTCTCTCTCTCTCTCTCTCTTACTAAGTGCATCAATTCTGTTGAGGATCCACCATTGTGATTAAAAGTCTGTTTCTGTTGTTTTCTTTTTGTGCAGGTTGGAAGGTAAAGTAGCATTGATTACTGGTGCAGCTGAAGGTTTTGGCGCTTGCATAGCGAGGGTTTTCGTCAACCATGGAGCCAAAGCTGTCTGTATTGATATCAACGCAGAATTGGGTCAATCTGTTTGGTGACAATTTGGGTTCTCAAAATGCAACCTTCATCTACGGTGACGTGACCAATGAAGTGGACATGGAAAATGCGATAAACCCGACGATTGAGAAACATGGGAAACTGGATATCATGATCAAAAATGCCGGCATCGTAGATGATCCGAAACCTAAAATCCTCGACAACCATCTCTCTGATTTCGAACGCGTGATGCGTGTGAATGTGGCCGGAGTTTTCTTAGGCATCAAACACGCTGCCCGGGCGATGATCTCGGTGAAAAGTAGCACCATCATCAACTTGGGCACCATCATTAACTCCTCATGGTTATTGCAGTTCCAAGCATGCTGTTGTAGGGTTGACCAAGAACGCAGCTGCGGAGCTCGGGAAGCATGGGATAAGGGTTAATTAATTGCTGTTTACTCTTCGATGACCCACAAATTTTTCGACTTCGATAAAGATGGAGAAACAAGAGCAATCACAACTCTTGAAGGCGTGGTTCTGCAGCAAGAAGATTTGGCGGATGCTGCGGTTTATATGGCGAGTGATGAAGCAAGGTTTATGAGCGGACATGATCTTAAGCTGTATGGCGGTTTTACAGTCATTAATCCTTCATTTGGCTTGTTTTCTAAATCTTGATAACTTGTTTGTGTATTTAGCTTTCGAATTTGGCTTGGTTCCCGAATTTGGATTTACTTTCTTAAATTGCTTTTAAGGGAAGTCCCAGGTATTACAAGTGATCAGGATTGTCCTTCGTGTTAATTTATTCGTTGCGATCGCTGATAACGTACCGGATATTAAATATTGACATGTATGTCATGAAAATTCATGTTCAGTTCCAAAATCAACCAATTGTGAATTAACGGTGATCAATAATCAGATTATTCTCCATTTAAATATATGTTATGCCTCCGTGTAAAGGATTCCGAAAGTTCCTCTTAAATTTTAGTACGGCGTCATAAGATTCATTTCTGTCTTGTGTGAGTGTCTCAAAGAGAAGACGTCAGAAATGACTACCATGGAGTGCATGTGAATTTTTTTGTCATTTTGGGAACAAATTAAAGATGTGTAAGGATAAGTTTTTTTTTTTTTAATGCACGTGGTATTGAAATTAACTTTCTTTCCAAAAGAAAATCATAGGCTGATTACTACTAAAGTATGAATATTTATAGATACCAGAGAGTTTGAACCCGATTTGTGCGTACGTTACATTTATAGACTTTGATGAGAAATCTAATCGTCAAAAGATTAAGAGTAAGCAAAATAGGTAAAGGGGCTATGATTAAAAAAAAATATATAAATTTTGTATATGGTAATTAAAGTAGAGGTAAATTAAGAAGATAAAATAATATAATAAAAAAAACTGATTTAAATGATATGTATGTATAGGTAGATAAACTCGAACAATAACAACAAAAGGCTTACTTTGAGAATACATGCATGCTTTCTTCGCCCACAAACTAATGTCACTGATACGTTAATCCATACGATTATATCGACTCTGAATGCAAACAAAATAGTAACAGTTAACCAGTACCATAACAGTTAACTTTGTTCTCTAAAATGTGTTATGGTGACAAAAAATTGGCATCCGCACGATTAAACCTTGGGATTTTTATAGTCAAACTTTATCACCAAACTTGTACTAGTAGTCCAAAAAAAAAAAGAGAAAAACTTAAAATTTAAGGCCAACATAAAAACATATTCTTCGTTGATAATCTATATGAAATTTCAATTAACTTCCTTTAAATTCTATGAAATAAGAATAGGTTCAAATGCTCAAAACATTACAACAATTCATCTATTGTACTTACTTAAAGCAACAAACATTCTGGACACGTGTCATTACCACAAAAAAAATTTTCCCCCAAAACTATTTACAGTACAAAACTGAAGCTACAAAACGTGGACACGTGGTTCCACCAATGAGCAGCAAATTTTAGCTAAAGCGAGGTTCGGGCAGAAGCCTACTTTCTAGCACATGAATCAGTTTGAACTAATTAAAGTTTGAAAACAAATCATCCCTTAATTTAAGAGAGAATAATCAGTCCAGTTATCTCTGTAAACACCCCTATAATTACTACCTCAAAGCAACTATCTCAGCCCAGCCGATGCCTACTTTTCAGAAAGAAAGATGTTTGTTTGAATTTGAATGACTGAAAGATAAAAAAAAAAATCCCTCAATTCCAGGAAGGTAACTCATTCCATATCATACAGTTGTTACATTAACAAAATCAACAATAAGATGAGTAATTTGCATTATCACAATTAAAGTTTGAATTTCAAACAGGGAGGATCAGATATGTTCGGTAATCCTCTCTCTGTCTGCGAGATTCAGCAACAAATTTTTTTTTCTTTTTTTATAAATCAATAGCAACCGAATCCAGCGACCACCGATATTAGTAGTAGGAGGATAACCATGGAAAAGTAGCCTCCACCGCCGCTGCCTCCATGGAGCGCCAAAGCCATCATCTCTAAAAAAGCTATGATTATGACTCTGGAATAAATGGAGATATTGTAGAAACAAATTGCAGCATATATCACAATTTGTCAATGGCTTGAAGATTTGCACAAATCCCTCTGTTCCTCTTCCGACCACAACACACAAATGCGGATCCCAATACAGATAATATGTTCAGAAATCTTGGAATCCCTTACTATGGTTAGTTGATGGGTTCTCCGAATCATCAATCATCCCTATGCGGCCAGCCTAAAATCCCTCGGAGACGGCAGTGGCATCCGACGCTAGGGCACCTTCGCATGTTTTTTTTGTAAATCTGGTCGAAAGCTAGGGACAATTTCTTTGTTTTGGAAGTACAATCCTAGGGCTTTTGTGCTTTCAATTCAGAAGTTGGGGCGAATCAAAGAGAGAGAAAATCATGTTTGGCTGTATTATTTTGAAATAAAATATGCTTGGCCATTCTTTGCTATTTTCTTCAACCCTCGAATCACCCCGAAAGGTTATGTTTCTTATCAAAATCAGAGTATGAGTTTATGTAATTTTGCAATTATAGATTGGGCTTTGATTGTTTCAAGCTGATGTTTTTATAACGTTTTCTTCCGCACAAACAAAAGCTTCGTCCAGACATCCGCAGCCAATTCCATTATGAACATGGTGATGAAAATTACTGATATCTGACGTATTCAATGGAGGTGGAAAAATCAATGATTATGGAAAAAGCAAAAGCTATAGAAATTATTTTGCAAGGTGTTAATTCAATTATTGGGTTTGATGTTTTTTTTTTGCTTTTCTTTTAATGGTATCATCCTTTTAGAAATGAGGGAATAAGGAAGGAAAAGATTTTCTGTTGCAGGGGCTCATTCCTCTTGAATTTGTGGATTAGTTTTTCAATTTGGATCTCATTTTGATCAAAGACAATAAGGTCTGCATACTTGATTTCTTAATAAGGTCTTAATATCAGATCGTATGCAAAGCTAGGATTGTGGAATATCGAACTTCAACTCAAAAAAATCAATAGAATTCTCAAAATAGCTATTCTCCCGTAATTATTTCTGGTCATTTTGTGTTGTTTTGTGCTTATTGCAAAGCTATCTGAGAAATTAATTAAAGGTGGATAACCAGTAGACAAAAGCAGAATCTACAGAATCCATTAGCACAGGGTTTGAATTCAATTAAAAGGTTTGATTTTTTTTCTTTTGCTTTTAAAAGTATGGTTCATCCAAAATTTGGGTTATGGTTATTCTATATTTGTTTGTCTTCTTCAACAGATGCATAATCAAATAGAAAAAAGGCATTGATGGAAAAATAATGATTAAAGCTCATTTTTGGACAATTATAAAGTAGCAAGAAAACAATAAATGTGCAAAGATATATGAGGAAAGATTTAGTTTTCAGAACCTAACGGATATACTATGATATCTTTTATTTGTCTTTTGGGTTCCAGGGGTGAATTATAATCATCCTGGTGTAATTTCTATTTTGTTCCAATATGTAATTACTCCTGGAAGACATTACAAAAAATCCACAACTAACCAATCCACAACAGTTTATATAACTATAATATTAAAGGCGCCCGGGCAGAAGCATGTAGTTTCATATAAAAGAAAAACCTTAATTTTCTCGAGATGGAAAGAAAGTTTGATTAAGTTTCTGCGTTTGATCCACTTATTTCCGTCAGCTGCAATTAGACCACCAACCGTTGAGTGGACCAATAAAATTAGCCGTATGGAAGTGATTAGGCTTAGGCAAGATCTCCTTCACAAGTTTAAGGTCCTTGATGATAAATCACCGGCCCTTGGCCCAAACCAAATAATACAGACCTTGAATTGTTAGATTTTTTACAAAAAATTAAAAAATATAAAATGATTGAGATAAAATTTTCTTCCAATAAAATGATTCAGTGATACATAAAAGTACAATGATTTCAATAATGATAAAACCATTTCTCGATTAGACTTTCTATTATCTAGTCGTCAAGAATTGCATTCATTTTTCTTACTCTATCGGTTCTAAAAAATAGTACTCCCTCTATCTAGAAATTATTGTCCAATATTAAGAATCTCCCTTTTAGTACAAATTGAAAATCCAAATTGGGTAGTAATTTTGGGATAGGAGGAATAATACATTTTGTTTTACTAATTTTATTTGATAAAGTAGATTATTTTTGTGATAGGGAGAAAGTAATTTTAACTCCATGTCAGTTTAATAATTTCGCTTGAAGAAAGAATTCTCACTCCACACAAAACAAGTTATTTACGTTATATACAAAGATGCAAATGAAAACATAACTAATGAATAATGCTTCATCCGTCCCTAAATAACTGTCACAGGTTACTTATAGTATAAGGCTTTGTTCTAATTATTTTTGCCATGATGAGCTTAAGCTACCAGCTTTTCGAGTTGACCACTGAAGAAATTTCGGCCAAATGGGAGGAAAGTCGAATTTCAGATCTTGAAATTAAGATAAACGTTTGGTCTTCCCTCCAAAGTTTAACCAGTGTGGTGCTATATCTCGCATAGCTAGCACCCGGTACCAATTATGAAGAAGCAAGAAAGATGTTTGAACTTCAAAGAGATCACATGCAATTATACGTCATTACAACTAATTCAAAAGGTTGTGTTTTCCAGGATTTAGGTCCGACATAATGATGTCTCGATATGTATTCATGTAAGATCTTCATAATAGTTTTGTCACAGGGGGGAGAGTCTCTCCCGGTTTGATTTATATAGGTCATGGCTTTGACAACATCATTTCATTGAAATCGTTCTCTTTGATGAGTGTCAATTCAGGTTCATTAAGAAGAGATGAAATGGTTCTGGTCAAGCGCTTGTGTGGCTAATTAGAGTTTTCTAGAGGATGGATGTTCTCAAAGTTAATTTCTAAGACTGTTAACGCATTTTGTGGCTCGAAAATGCTTTGTAAGACCGACTGTACGTTTTAGGAGTAAGGCCGATGTTAATTGTATATTGTTCTTCTTTGATTAATACAAAGATGATCATCATTAATGCTTGTGACGAGAAAAAAAAAAATCATCCAAGGGAGGACGGAGAATGACAAGATGTGGTATATATATTGTAGTACAAAATTGACTTGCATTTATGAAAAAAGAAAAACAACGTACAACTACGACGAACTTATTTCAATTGGGCAACAACACCAAAAAGGAAAATAGAAGTAGAAACATAGATTACCATTTCACGATTTGGAGCCAACCAAATTACTAAAAGAAAAGAACAGAATCGCCCCAACAAAACACACACACACACACACACACACACACACACACACATATATATAGCTCTCTTTTCGGACTTTCCTCTTCTTCATTTGCATTTTCTTTTTTACCAAAAAAGCAAAATATTAACTATGGCATGACACATGTAGGCCAATCGCATTTGCAACCAAATTCATAGTAACATTTTCCGAAAAAGCAAGTCTCCCCATCGCAACCATCCGCTGAAGAAGCTGGCAGCACCATTTTCACGGGGAGAGTCTTGAGGACTTCAGCACTTGTGTACATTTTTCTTGTAGAACCCGACATCTTTCTTTCACCGGAGACGACCGTCTTGTCGGCTTGATCATGAGTAGTGTCCTCCACTCCAGAAGACTCAATGTCCAAAGCCCCGACAACTGCAATAATTCAGCGCCAAAAATTTAGTTTGTAGTATTAATTGCAATTGACAAAATTCCGCCAATAAAAAGAAAAATACTAAAAATTTGGAGAAAGAAAGAGAGGGAGTGATGAAAAAATAGTGACGCACATGCTGCAAGAAGTAAGAATAGGATGAAATAGTTGGTGAAATACGCCATATCGGATTTCTCTTTCTCTAGGAGTTTGTTGTAACAAAGAAAATGGCCAAAAACTAAAATCGTCTCTATTGCTGGAGAATTGGTTGTTGTTTTAGTACTAAATGGTGTGGTATATATAGGGAGGTAAGTTCACACTTGTACAAAATGGGTTGGAATTTTGAAGAGACTGGCTCCAACACGTTTAACGCTAATTACTGATACAATGAGATCTTTTGTTATTCTTGTAACAGGGAACTTTTTTTGTTCGCACATACTTATTCCTGAAATGTAATTCATAGTTAATTTTTAAGTCTTGGTCTCCTTTATTATTATTATTTTTTTTAAAAAAAAAAAGTACTGTATAACTAACATGCACTGGTTCAAGAAGTAGAGGTTTGGAATCAGTTTAATACTGATTTGTGCAGTAAAGAAGTTATTCAGCTCGAATTTAAATTCTTCAGGTAAAAATAAATAACTAAAATTAAGAAATTGAAGTATCAAACTGAATACAAACTAAACTACTAAATTAATTGCGTATTACACAAATCATTAATTGAATGACTTCACAAAAGTTCATCTTCTTTGGGTATAAAGTCGTAAACTAAATTACTTCCAAAATTTTATCCAAACCCCTAATGGTTAAAACCACGAAATTGTTGTGTCCAACGAGACGTGCATTATAAATCACGTATTAGAAAAGATAATGAAAGAAACTATTCTAACAATTTAGCAAATTTCAAGTATTAGTTTCTTCATTGTGCGAGAAAAACTTTTATATATAATAAACTCATCATATTTAAGAAATAAAATAAGAAAAAATCATTACCAGCATGATACTCTATATCTGGAACGCACTCATCATTCTGATTTAGGATACTCTATATTAATTTTATTGTAATATACTGATATTTTGATTTAATAAATAGTCTACATTAAATTTTTTGAATTTGTACTAAAACTTTAGAACAAATCGAGGTAGTACTGGTTATGTGGAATGCAAAGAGTACATTTTTAGCCTAATTGGAATTCTTTCAAAAAAAAAACAGAATGAGAAAGAGCCTTAGCTAGCTTGCACATCTAGTGACATATATTTGAAATGTTTAACAGAATCAAGAGAAATTATTATTCGGTATCCTGACGCAATTGTCATTCAAAGTCAAACATACACACTGCTTAATTAAACATGGCACTACTCGTCCTCAGTAGCCAAACAATATTTTGTAATATTAACAGAAGTGCTAAGATTTAGAAACGATTTGTGAAAGGTTCGTGGATTGCTTTTTGTCTTTGGTGAAGATGAGATGGATAAGCCTGAGTAGTACCATTCTCGAACAGACATCGTCAAATGTTTACTTCAAAAGTGCAAGCATTACCTCCATCTTCTGAACCCTTGTGTTGACCTAGAGAGGGATTTTTAGTTTGTGCGCCTTTATATTAACCAATATATATAAATCAAACTTTTTCTCAGTAATACATAAAAATGTAAGCATAAGCCTAACAAATTATGTAGCAATACTTCAGAGAAAAACAATTTCAGCAAAATCATACATAGTCAAGAGCAAAAATTAATTAAGGATTACTCTGCAACATGCACAAAAAATTAAACGGGTACCTTACCTTTACCCAAATCAGAAATTTTATTTTATTATATATATTCTTAAGGAATTTATATTCGTATGCATTTGAACTTATCCACTCGACTACCATATTAAACAAAAAGGATTACAAAAAAAAAGACAATTAAATGTTGGTCAAACTAAAATTAATGTCTTCCAAAATATTCAATGAAATTAGAATGTTGATGAAAATAAAAACAAAAAAACCCGTTTCACCAGGTACGCCTTTGGTTCTTCCTTATAAAATCTTTTTAAAAAAATTTATAAAAAAAAAAATCTCAACCAATTCAATTGTAATATTAAGAAAATAAGTAACTCCGACAATATCATAACAAACTTCTAACTTGAAACTATAATGATACTACCATATTGTTTGTAATATTTAATGATTTCAAATAATCAATTGCAAAATTAACTTCCATATATATATATATATATATATATATATATATATATATATATATATTACAACTGGACTTGTCAATATCCCTATAACAACAGTTATCTCCCAGGTTGAGGAGATGAAATGTTGAAATTGGTGAGCAAAGATTGATTAAAGATTATTCTGCAACATGCACAACAAAACGGGCACCTGACCTTAACACAACCAGAAATTAAATTTTGTTTTATATTTTTACAGAATTTACATTCATTCCAATTGATCTGTTATCATACACATTAAATCTCAATCCCAAAGTTGGATGCTACAATGAAAAAATTGCATCGGAACTTGAGAAAACAGAATATATAACTTCTAAAATCGATCCTTTAATTCTGCCACATCCTCGAGATTTGGCTTATAAATGAAATCGTCAACGCATATCCTGTGAATCACAAGTTTCGTGTAATCATGGAATGACCAAAGTAATTATATACCAAAAGGACAAGTCATGTGTTTTTAAGAACTGTTCATAGAATAAAAGGTAAAACTTTTAACTAGCGATATCGTCAGGGCAAAAATTAGCTTCAATAGGTACCAAAACATAAATAAAGTCAGGCTGGTCGACGTTCCTAGGTCACCATCGCATCGGAAAGAAATCATATCATGAAAACCCAAAGGAAAAAAGAAAAAAAAAGAACTAGAAAGATTATGAGCATTTTAATAGTAATTTATGACATTCTAATAATCTTGATGGGCGGGCACATGAACCGTTAAAAATGGCAGGTACCAAGAGAGGTGAAGAAGGAATCATGAAGAGATGGAAAAGAATTATCATTCAGCCGGATAACCTTAAATTTGATCTATTTTCTAGATTGCCATCAAATTAGTCAGACCCCATTCCCCTTTTTTCATGGGCTTTCATTGAACTTCTGATTTTCCCACGCTTTTTTAGTAAACCTAATTATTTGTGAACAACAAACCTAATTAAGAGTTTAAAAGTTTGTTTGTTTTCACCGTAGATCCTAGTTAATAATTTTCTTTCACTGGAAATCCCAGTCAATTCCGTATTCGAAACCACACGAGATTTTGTCCGGTTAAGACACCATGATCAATAATAAATCTTGGCAAATCTTGAATAATAAAAAAAAAAGGTAAAAATTTCGCATCCTCCAGTTTATGGTCAAAAGCGCTAGGGTCTAGGGGTTGGTGATCCGCTATGAAGTTTGGGCAGGGGGTGTGGTTGAATGTTAATAAGGATATTTTTGTCAAGAAAGTACAATATTGTTCTGGAAGTTAATTTTTGCCCTGTCAGTATCGCAAGCCAAAAAATTTACATGACAACAAAACCGGGAACACGTGGCTCTCTAAGACCTAGTTCCCCCTTTTTAATAGTATCGGTACAATTGCTTTGAAAGGAGCATATTTTAATTACATTGTTGGCTCTTATGCACAAGAGGTTTTCATTAGTCGTGGTGATAATTTTCACGTCCGGTACAAGATACTCTCTTCATTTTTTTTTATATATTCTCTTCAAGAATTTAGTAAAACAAAGAAAACACTATCTCTTTCTTACAATGTAAGTCCAATTTCTATTCTAGATTATGTCAAAATATAAATCCGTTTGGTATGTCAATGCATAATTTGTTTATTTTGCGTAAATTACCCTTGTCTGTATAATGATTTTTGAGTTAAGTAGTAATTAGTCTTGTTAATTAAGACTAAAATAGACCTTACTCTGTGTAAATTATGAACACTTAATATTTGTGGTACTCAAAGTGAATTTACATTGTGAAAAAAATATATAGTATTAATTAATACAGTTAGCAAACAAGGGGTTGGCATGGCATCAACCGGGAGGTCCTGGTTCAAATCCTACTAACAGCACATTTGTGTGTTGAGTTGTGCAGATTATTTTGCACCTACCAGGAACGCTTTCCGAGTACAAAATCGAGTCGTGCGTGCGTGGAGTCTCCTCCTTAGTAAAACTATCCCTTGCCCCATAGTCTTCACCCCACATGTAATAGACTAGATAGTTGTAATTGTGTATCAAAAAAAAATTAACACAGTTAAAATGCAAAAAACACCCTAATGTGTTTGTTATAAACAATATTGCATCATAATGCAAAAAACACAGTTATTATTCAAACAACTCATCACAAATCAATAAAAAAACTAATAAAAATTTATTATAAACTATTGTAATAGTTAGTATATTTCCTATTATGTTCTAGTTTAGGGTTTGTTATTGTCTATATATAGTCTGTATATTGTGCACAACATATTATGAATCTAATACAATTTTCCTATTCTAAGTTGGTATAGAGCTAGGTTTTAAAACAACCCAATTTTTTTCTTTCCTCCTTTTTCTCTTCCCCGCCGCCGGTTTTTTTCTTTGGCCGTGCGCACTCCATCTGGCGCAGTATGCCCCTTCTGTCACTCCCTGGCATCCGGACACTGGTGCTACGGATCATGTCACGCCAGATTTGTCCTCTCTCAGTATCTCCAATGATTATACTGGTACGGATCATATTTTAGTTGGTAATGGAGATGCTTTACCTATTCAGCATGTTGGTCAATCTGTTTTGCCATCGTTTTCTCGTCCTCTTTATTCAAATCGTGTCTTGCATGCTCCTTCTCTTACTAAGCCCCTGTTATCTGTTCAAAAGTTTACCAGTGATAATCATTGTTTTTTTGAATTTTATTCTGACTCTTGTTGTGTTAAGGATCTTTCAACCAAGGAACTCCTCCTCCGCGGTCGGGCTGATAATGGTCTCTATCGCTTAGATCTTCCTGCTCGTGGTTCCTTGTCTCCAGCAGCTTATCTTGTCTCTTTAGGTCAGTGGTATGCTCGTTTAGGGCACCCTAATAATGTCACTCTTCGTACTTTGGTTAGGCAGTTTCAACTTCCTTATTCCTCTGTGTCCACGTCCACTGATAAATGTGAGGCGTGTTGTTTAGGGAAGTTACATAGGGTCAGTTTACCTTCTACTTTTCATCGTAGCTCTAAACCTCTTGATTTAATTCACACTGATGTTTGGGGTCCTGCTCCTATTTTGTCATTCAATGGTTATCGCTACTTTGTGCTTTTTATTGATGACTT